TTTAGCCTTGATGGTTGATGAGCTTCAAATGACTTTGGCCACATGATGCATCTGGCCCCAGTGAGGAAGTGGGGCAGGAGGCTGGGCGCAGGCAGGCCCCAGGGCTCCCGGCTCGAGCGGGACCAGATGGTAGTGAAGCGAGTGAAAGTCGCTCTGTCGTGTCTGGCTCCTTGTGACCCCATAGACTGCACCCCGCCAAGCTCCTCCGTCCATGGAATTCTCCAGCCCGGAATTCTGGCCATGGGTAAGCCGTTCCCTCCTCCAGGGGATCTTCCCAACCCAGGGATCGAACCCAGGTCTCCTGCATTGCAGGCGGATTCTTTACCATCTGAGCCACCAGGGAAAGACCTGGCTTTGGAATGGGACCAGATGGTAGAGTCCCTTTGATTTTGGCTAAGCACCCTCTTGGTGTCATGACGTCCACCAGGCGTCTGCTACAGTGCAGAAGGGACAGCCCCAGCCCCACCCCTAGGACTCAGGCTCCTGTCTACCATCCTCCCCAACCTGGCCTGGGAAAGCCCCCCCAGCTTTCCTACCCCCATGGCCTGGGCACAGCCAAGGCTGAGCTCTCCCAGGGCTAGTCCGGGGGCTGTCCCACACACAGCCACCCAGCTCACCAGCGACAGCCCCAGCGGAGAACACAGGCCTGCCCTGGGTCTGAGCCCCACACCGTTTGCCCCAGCAGCCAGCGGTGCCAGCTCTCATACACCTGACATCTCCCTCATTCCAGGCCCAGCTTAAACAGCGAGAAACTGCCTTGGACTTCCCCATACACTCCTAATACAGTCCTTGGAATAGGTACAGTTGCTAATGTCCTTTTACAGATGAAAAAAACCGAGGCTTGGAACTTGCCAAGGGCACCCAGCCCGGTGTGAGCAGGTCTGTGTGGGCCGGGCTCCAGGCCACTGTGCCCAGAGCTGGCATTTGGTGTGTGCATGGCCTCCTGCAGACCAAAGGCTCAGGCTGACTCTTGGGGTGTCCGGGCGCTCACTCCTGTGTCCCTAGGCCAAGGACCCGGCCGCCATGTCATCAGGCCCAGGGGAGAAGGAATTCGCAGGATGTGTGGCCCAGCTGTGTCCTAGCTCCACTCCTGAGTCCAGGCTCCTATTTCTCTCCTGATGAGGCCGCAAGGCCCACCCCAACCCAGCCAGAGCCCGTCCCTGGTCTGATCTGCTGAGAAAGGAAGCCTCGGGGTCCCCTGGGAACAGGTGGCTAGGGGCGTGCATTTCCACACTGAGGCACCTGCTTGCCCTTCAAAGCCTCTGCCGCATAGAGCCAGGCTCACGGCCAAGGAGGCCCTCAACCAGCGGCTCAGGGACCCCTCCTGCACCTCCTGGCGGTGGGCGAGACCCGGCCCGTGGGCTGACCCAGGGGGCCTTCGTCACAGGCCTGGCTGGAGGCTTACCTTAGCCTCTGTGAAAGAACCGTCACGTGGTGAAGGCTGCTGTGTTCGCGTCTTGGGAAGCCCGACAGAGGACCCCAGAGGGCACCGCCTGGGCCTTGGGCGCTCAGGCTAAACCTGTCTCCGCACAGCCCGTCCCCGTGGCCCAGCCTTGGTAGGGGACTGCCCAGCCCCATCCATCCGGGGAAGGCGGCATCTGGAGCGAGGCCAAGGTCTTCGGGCCAGGCCGGGAAGCCCTGCCTCCCCTCCTGGCAGGCCTGTCGTGAGCACCTCCCTCTTCAGGCAGGTCGAAGTCTGGCTTCTCCCTCCTGAACCCCCCAATATCATTCATTCATTCAGAAGGGCCGATGGTTTAGAGCGTGGGTCCAGACTGCCTAGGTTCAAGACCCAGCTTTTTTGCTCCGCAGAGGTGACAGCCCGTTTAACCTCACTGCACCTGTTTTTCCCATCTATCAAGTGGGGGAAATCACAGTGCCTTCCTGAGAGTCACTGTGCAGATGAGATGAGATCAGGTCATAAATGTAAGGCTCTCCTAACCCAGGCTAAGTCCTCTGTTAGCCCTTGATGGAAAGTGGGTGGGGGAGATTCTAGGGACTCTGGTATTTTTTTTTTAACATACCTATCAATAATCACTTTATTTTTTTAACTTAAAAAAAAGCTTTTAATTTTATATTGGAGTATAGCTGATTAACATTAATGGTGTGATAGTTTCAGGTGGACAACAAAGGGATTCAGCCAATCATACACAAGTATGCATTCTCCCCTAGACTCCCCGCCCATCCAGGCTGACCAGCATTCCCTGTGCTCTGACCTTGCTGATTATCCATTCTAAATATAGTCGTGTGTACGTGTCCATCCCAAACTCCCTAACTATTGGTTCTGGGGATTCTACGAGCTCTGGTATTCTAATACCTGGGGGATGTATAACAAGATCTGCATAATGCTAGCTAAAATCTTACAATGTTTAGTTCAATTTCATTTTTTTTTGCAGTGTTCTATAATATCACAATTTGAAATTTCTAAAATATTTATTTGTATCTTACCCCCTCCAAAAGCCAAACTTTTATTTATTAATGGCGTCTAATTTTGCTCATTTTTGTTTGTCTGTTTTATCTTTTTCTTTCTAGTTTTGCTCATTTAAAAAAATAAAAATCATTTGGTCACTTGTTTCATTCATGCATTAAAATAAACCCTATCTCATCCTGACAAAAAGCCTGCTTAGGGAAGTCCTATGAGGTAAACATGAGCTCTTAGCGCTTCATACTTTGGTCCCCTCCTCTCTGGCCCGGGTGTGGTAAGGAGCAAGGGGAGGTTGGGGAGACCGCAGGAGGGAAGTGGAGAGGTAGCAGCTGACGACTCAGGCCGCTGGGTCGTGCCTGGTGTCTGCAGGACAGGGCAGTCTGGCCGGGCGGTTATGCAAGAGTGGAAAGACTTCTGAGAAGAAAGGAAGTCAGTGGCAGGCTGCGACCAGGACTGGCGCCCGGGAGGGGGTACCGCTTGCAGCCAGCCCCACCTGCCACTTCCTCTGCCCTTCCCAGGTGAGCAGAACTGGGCGTCTGCCCTCGGTGCGGGACCGCAAGGCAGCACCCCGTGAGACGGGGAAGACCAGAGACAAGCTGAGCATCCCTCAGGGCGGGGGCGTTTAGTGAATGATTAAAGCACCATCTCTCAGCTGTGAGCCAAGAGCCGTGTGCTGTGGGCTTAAGGGAGGACTGCCATCCATCATGGGACCCCACTCGGTCTATTCTTGCTTCCAACTTTCTGTTGCGGTAAAAGGCACCCACAGAGAAGGGCTGTGCATGAAACTCAACGTGCCTAGGGCCGGGCTAATTTTAGGAAGTGAGCGCACTTGTGGAACTGGCGTCCTTATCAACAGAGCGAATCGCTTGCGGCCTCCGGGCCCCCTCCGCTCACTGCTGGCCCCCGCCCCTGCCCCCAGAGGTCACCCTGGCTTCCAACCCCACTGACTGGCCTGGGAAGAGTTTGAGCTTGGGGTCAGTGGCATCCTGCAGGAGGGGCATTTTGTCCGCTTCTCTATCCCCACGTTGTACCTGGAAGGTTCCCCCGTGTTGTGCAGGGCAGTTCTTTCCCATCGCTGAGCCGTGCATCCTTCTCTGCAGGCAGATCCCAGCTGTGTAAGTGGAAGTGACCAAGGACTGGCAAGGCTGGTCACACCCAGGGTTGGTGACCTCGGGGTAACTGAGGAGCAGCATTGTCTAGAGGGGACCTGCTGAGCAACTCTTCCAGAACAGAGGAAAGAAATAGACTCCGAGCTTCCGAGATAACACCCCCTGCCAAAGGTCAAGCCTTGCCCCTGGTGGTCCCGGGGGACCCGTGGCTCTCAGAGTGCTCCCAGCGCTGATGGCCTTGGCCACCATCTTTCCCTCTTGGAATCTGAGAGTCTGGGCCACAAAGTGACCCTGCCCACCTGAGCCTGCCGTCAAATTTCCTGGGTCTAAGACCACTTGCTCTGTGACCTTGAACCAGCCCTGTAACCTCTGAGCTCCCGGAGTCCCAAGTCTCCCTGGCCAAGCGCCCCAGGCTTTGGTATCACCGACTCAATGGACATGGGTTTGAGCAAATCCCGAGAGTCGATGAAGGCAGGGAAGCCTGGTGTGCTGCAGTCCATGGGGTCATAAAGAGTCAGACACGACTGAGCAACTGAACAACAACCCATCCTCTCCCAGCAAGCTGCTCCTCCCTCACCCCTGCATCCCAAATCCCCTTCTCCCCATTATTGGCAGAGATGGGGGTCCACTTTCACTCAGGAGGAAATCAAGCTGGCTCTGAGGGGCCATTCTTTGATCAGGATTTGAACTCGGGTCTTAGTCTGCCCGCCCACTACTGTTCTCAGTCACACTCACCCAGGGTGTGCACCGGAGGCTTGTACACACTCCTTTGGAGGATTCATCACTCCACGAGCAATGCAGTCACTATCCGAATATTTGCAGAGGGTCCACTGCCTGCCAGGCACCAGCTCTGGGGCATTGGGGCCAGAGCCCTTGTCAAAACAGTCCAGACCCTTCTCTCACAGGGCTCACAATCTGGCCTGGAAAGACATTGTAAAAATAAAATAAAACAGTGGTCAGTGCTCTGAGAAAAAAAAAAAAAAAGAAAAGAGGAGTAGGGGCTTGTGAAGTGTTGCTATTTTATGTGAGGTTATCAAGGAAGGCCTCTCGGAGGAGGTGCCCTTTCTCAGAGGAGAAACCTGCAGACAATGAGGGTGGGAGTTTCAGGCCTGCCTGAGATGGGCCAGGTGGAACAGGGCGTGCAAAGGCCCTGAGGTGCAAGTAGTGGGGGAGTTCCCTAACAGAGAAGCCAAGGCCGCTGGTGCAGGGAGCCAGGAGGAGAGAGTGGGGAGTCGGGCACCCCACTGGGGTCCTAGAGGCCACGGGGAGGACAGGGGCCAGAGTGTCCTTGCACACCTGCGTGCGTGTGGCCGCCCACGTCCCGCCACGGGAGCCCCAGGAATCCCAGAAAACGAAAGAAGAAGCGGAGCCCTCTCTGCACGCTCCCTGCCCCCTCTTGCCACCCCCCCCCCCACCCTCCGCGACAGAGGCGACTTCCTCTTTCCAGCCAATTTAAGTCCCAGCCCCTGAGCACCCCGGAGGAGAGGGTGCCGCGCGCAGCCGAGCCATGGGGGACCACTTCATCCGCCACATTGCCCTCCTGGGCTTCGAGAAGCGCTTCGTTCCCAGCCAGCACTACGTGAGTACCGGCCGGGAGCGCCCCGCGCGGGGACAGGCCCGGGGGTTGGTGGGGGGCGCACGTTCGGGTCCCCGCACAGCCCCGGCTCTCCCGGCCGGAGGGGAGAGGGTGCAGGGTCGTGGCCGAGGCTCCGGGTCCCCGGGGCTCAGGCCGCCCATCCAGGGCCGCAGTCCATATGAGCCCTTCAGGTGATGCGCGCCGCGCCCCCCAACCCCAACTCCCTGCTCTCCACGCCAGCACGTGTCTCCGCCGGCCCCTCCGGGAGGGGTTCCCGGGAGGGCGCGGTGGTGGTGATCAGTTACATCAGAGTCACGGCCCCTCCTGTAGGGTGACACCACTGCCGGGACTCGAAGAGTCCCCCTCCTGCCCCGGGGGAGCTGGGCAAGTGTTGGCTCAGACCGGCCACCCCATCCATCATAGGGTCTCCAAACCCAGAGGAAGACCAGGGAGGGATCCACCTTGTAAATTGGCGCGTGGGCTGCATTCAGAGTATATGCAGAGCCCTTTCGTCTTTTTTTAACTCTTAATTTTGACATAATTTCAAATTTACAGAAATGTTGCCCCCGCAAAATGCCAATTACTCCAGCATTCCTTCACCCACATTTTCTCTCTGTGTGTCTCTCCCTCCCTTTCTCTCTCTCTGAATGTGTATTTCTGAATCGTTTGACAGTTATTTGGAGACATTGTGCTTCTTTACTCCTAAATATTACAAGTGTGTATTTCTTAAAACCAAGAACATTCTCTTACATAACCAAAGGTGTCGAACTGAGGAAATTAACCTTGATAAAACACTGCCATCCATCCCACAGACTGTATTAGGATTTCAGCAATTGTCTTACTTGTCCCTCGGTAGGGATGTTTTTTCAGGCCCAGGATCCAATCCAGGTTATCCTATGTATCTGAGTTGCCTCATCTCTTTGGTGTTCTCTGACCCGGATCAGTCTTAACCAGTCTTTGTCCTTTTCAATTTTGACTTTTTGAAGACATGGGACCAGTTATTTTGCAGAACGCCCCTCAATTTCGGTGTTTCTGATACTTCTTAGGGACTTTCCAATGGCTCAGCGAGTAAAGAATCCTCCTGCAATGCGGGAGACACAGGTTTGATACTTCCTGAGATCCCAGTGGCTTCCCTGATAGCTCAGATGGTAAAGAATCCTCCTGCAATGCAAGAGACCCTGGTTTGATTCCTGGGTTGGGAAGATCTGCTGGAGAAGGGACAGGCTACCCACTCCAGTCTTCTAGGGCTTCCCTTGCGGCTCAGCTGGTAAAGAATCCGCCTGCAATGTGGGAGACCTGGATTCGATCCCTGGCTTGGAACGATCCCCTGGAGAAGGGAAAGGCTGCCTACTCCAGTATTCTGTCCTGGAGAAGTCCATGGACTGTTTAGACCCTGGGGTTGTGAAGAGTCGGACACGACTGAGTGACTTTTCACTTTTCACTTTAGATCCCAATTATTCAAGGACACCCCGGAAGTGACTCTGTTCTTCTCTTTGATCCCATCAGGTGGCAGTTGATTTTTAGTTATTCCTGTATTAGTGATGTTTGATCACTAAATCCTAAGTGTGTCCTCCAAGTTTCTCTGCTGTAGAGTTACTGTTTCCCCCTTTGTAATTCATAACTGGGCTTTCCTGGTGGCTCAGTGGTGAAGAATCCACCTGCCAATGCGGGAGATGTGGGTTTCATCCCTGGGTCTGGAGGAGATCCCCTGGAGAAGGAAATGGCAACCCACCCTGGTTTTCTTGCCTGGAGAATCCCATGGACAGAGGAGCCTGGCGGGCTGTGGTCATTGGGTTCTCAGAAGAGTTGAACGAGACTTGGTGACTACAACAGGCAACAAAATTAATAACGACCCCACGGGGGAGGTTATGGAAAGCTGTGTGAGTGTCCTGGGCCTTACAGACACCGGGTGACTCTTGCTTGAATCAAATGACTGTCATGATTGCCAGATAATGATTTTTAGACTCTACCGGTCCTTCTGCATGCATTAGTTAACATTTTCCTGTGTCTTCCCTTCTTCCTTATCTCTGTCTATGGATCCGTGGATTCAGTGGGTCAGAGTCCATTACTATCAGTACTTATTTTGATGCTCAGAATGTTCCAGATTTGGTGACTGGGAGCTCCTTCAGGTTGGCCTCTGTGCTTTTTTTTGGATATATCATGTCATTCTTTGAGCACATTATTATTATTATTTTGGAGAGGGCACCAGAATTCATTCTTATGGCACAAGATGGTCCAGCTTAACCTGGACTCTCTCAGCCCTAGGCCTGGACTGAACTATTTCACTAAAGAACCCGGGTTCTTTAGTGGGAGTGATATTAGGACCCAAAATCTGGAAGCTAGGTGTGCTCATTGCCACCACGTTGTCAGGCTCGTGACTGCCTTTTCAGGGGACAGACGGGGAAATAGCCGTGTCTTATCCTTCTTGCCTCTCACCATTTTGTATCTGTAGCTCCTTTCTCTCACTGTGGGAGCAGTGGGTCCTGAGGAGATTGGTGTTTCACTCCTCTGCTCAGTTCTAAAGTAAACATAAATTTGTTTCAGAGTGACTACACCCACACCATTATCAGCAAGAAACCTACTAACATATTAAGTCACTACATCCATGCCACTATTAACAATAAACCTACTAACATAATAAGTCAAATTTAAGTTTTCCTTGCAGTTCTTTTTGTCCTTTAGTACTGAGAATAGTGACAGCGCTGTAACTAAAAGCTACTTGGAGTCTTTTCCATTAAACAAAAATTTAATTATTACCCATTTTATGTACTGTTAAGTTCATTTGGTTTTGTTTGTTTTCCACTTTAAAGTTAAAAAATCCTTGTTGGTTTAATTTTATTTCTAAATATGTAAAATATTAGCAAGTTCACCCATTTAAAGTGCACTGTGGTTTTGGGTATATTGAGTTGTTCAACTATCACAACTATCTAATTTTTAGAGTATTTTAATCTTCCCCAGTGGTAGCTATTCTTTTTATTCCCCAATATTTTATTCTGAGAAACTTCAAATATAGAGAGAAATTGAAAAAAATTTTACAACAAAACAAAACCAAAAAATCTAACCAGTCATATGCTCGCTATCTAGATTCTTCCATTAACATTACCTGTAGCAGTTGTTTTATCATGCAAACCATCCATTCACCCATCAATCTATCTTTTTTTTGATGCACTTCAAGGCAAATCACAAATATCAGTACACTTTGCCCTGAATATTTCAGCATGCATATCACAGCTAGAGTTAAGCATTTGCTTATAGTTTTTTCTCTTTTGATGTAAAATTTTTGTAGAATGAAACCCACAAATCTTAGAGATACATTTACTGAGTTTTGACCCTGGGAGTCCCTACAGAATCCAAACTCTCATCGAAATGTTGACCGTGACCTTCACTCCGTCTCATGTCCCAGTCATTCCTTCCCAGCCCCTGGAAGCAACTATTTAAGGTGTCTTTTTCCACCTTGAATTAGTGTGGTCACTCTAGAATGTCACAGACGTGGAATGATATGTAGCTTTTCATGCCTGACTTCTTGCATTCAGCAAAGTGCTTTTAAGATTCATCCACATGGTTGCAAATATCAGTTATCTGTTATTTTGTGTGGCTGAGTGGTGTTCTCTTAACTGTTTTTGCAGGCTTATTTTTCTGTATTGAGTTTTGTTTGTTTGTTTTTTATAATGGTTTTTTTTTTATATATTGGAGAAGGAAATGGCAACCCACTCCAGTATTCTTGCCTGAAAAATCCCATGGACACAGGAACCTGGTGGGCTACAATCCGTGAAATCGCAAGAGTTGTATATGACTTAGAGAATAAAACCACCACAATTCTTTTTTTTTTTGCGATGAACATTAAAACCACCACAATTCTTATGTCATATGATTAACTCATGTGAATTGCACAATTCAGTGGCTTTCAGCACATTCACAGAGTTGCACAATCATCACTATAATCTGTTTTTTTTTTTTAATCAGCCCAAAGAAATCCTATTCCAGTCAAGCCTCAGCCCCTCTACCCCTAACCCCGCCCAGCCACTGGCAACCACAAATCTACTTTCTGTTTCAATAGATCTGTCTCTTCTGGACATCTGTTTTTCTTTTCTTTTTTATTTCATGGCTGCGCCCTCGGCTTGTGGGATCTCAGTTCCCTGACCTGGGGCTGAACCTGGGCCCTCAACAGTAAAAGTGCAGAGTCCCAGCCGCTGGATCATCAGGGATTCCCTGGACATTTCATATAAATCCAGCCACACAACGTCTTACTGTGTTGCGTTGCGTTTTGTTATCTGAGCCCAGCCCTTTCAGTGTCTTACCTCCTGTTAACTCTCACACCAGCCCTAGCCGTGCAGTCCTACTTTTACCTCGAGTTTACAGAGAGGAATTTGAGTTAATCTGAGAGAGTTAATTTGCCCTGGGGTCCATGAACTTGGTGCTCTTTCTATGGCCCAGGTTTCCCCAAATAGCACTCTCCCTCCCACCCCCAGTCCTGTGGGTTTCCACTGTGGGTGGGGGGCTGCCCAGAGACGTGCTTGAACAAGGTCCCCCACTGCTGCCTCCCCCCTAGGTCTACATGTTCTTGGTGAAATGGCAGGACCTGTCTGAGAAGGTGGTCTATCGGCGCTTCACCGAGATCTACGAATTCCACGTGAGTGCCCTGTGTGTGTGTGTGTGTGTGTGTGTGTGTGTGGGCGTAAGGAGGAGACACCACGTCCAGCCCCAGCTCTGCCTTCGGGGATGGAGACTTAGAAAACCCCTCCCCTCCCCTCCCAGCCCACATTTAAGGGGGCATTTTGTAAAAAATTGAGGTGGAGTTGACTTACAATATTGTGGGCATTATTTTTTTTTAATTTAAAGAAAACATTTAAAGTAATTTTTATTGTAAAAATATACGTAACATACACTTACCATTTTGCCTATTTTAAGCGTACAAGCCAGTGGCATGAAGCACGTTCGCTATGTCACGCTACCATCACCACCATCCATTTCTAAATATTCTCATCTTCCCAAACCAAAACTCTGCATCCACCCCACAGGAACTCAAGGGGGCTGTCTCTAGGGTCCTCCTGCTTGCTCTGTGCCGGCAGGGGGATGTCATCCTGGGAGCTTGCTCTTTCACTCACGGTCCCTGGTCTGATGAAGACCCTGGTGGACCGGAAGGAGGGTGGATAATCCTGATACCCATGGAACCTGGTCTTCTTGCTTTGTGGGTGCCTGTTATCACCAGGGTTTACATGGGCGAATCCCCCAGGGTTCCCAGCACCAGAGGCTGTTTGGACAAAACTGGGGGGAGCTTATGGTGGGGGTCACAGTGTGTGGAGCTTGGCTACCGGGTCCTGGTCTAAGACATGGAGGGGCCACAAAAGCACTTCTCTTATTTGAATTATTTAAAGTGAAATGCAGGTAAGTATGAAGAAAAACTACCTCCAGCCTTGTACTCTGGCACCTGGAATCACAGCTGATGTCACTGGGCCGTTTGCACAAGGCTTTTAGATAAAGGAGATGGGGCGGCTTAAGAGGGAGGGGGCATATGTGCACATATTTAAATGTTTAAATATATACATATAACTCTGGGCTTCCCTGGTACCTCAGCTGGTAAAGAATCTGCCTGCAATGCAGGAGACCCTGGTTCACTTCCTGGGTTGGGAAGATGCCCTGGAGAAGGGAAAGGCTGCCCACTCCAGTATTCTTGGGCTTCCCTGGTGGCTTAGTCAGTAAAGAATCTGCTTGCACTACAGGAGACTGGGGTTCGATCCCTGGGTTGGGAAGATCCCCTGGTGGAGGAAATGGCAACCCACTCCAGTGTTCTTGCCTGGAGAATCCCCATGGGCAGAGGAGCCTGGTGGGCTACAGTCCGTGGGGATGCAAAGAGTCAGACACGATTGAGCGACCAAGCACAGCACAGTTCATATATAATCATGACTGGTCCATGTTGTTGTGCAGCAGAAACCTACTCAACATTGTAAAGCAGTTATCCTCCGAAACCTACTCAACATTGTAAAGCAGTTATCCTCCAATTAAACTTTGTAAGAAAAGATAAAGGAGATAAAGCATTGCAAAAGCAGTGGAAGCCTCCCTCCATCTCAGAGCCCATACCAGCTCCTACCCTTCATGGAAACACACACACCACACACACACACACACGCACACGCACATGCACATGCACACACACGCACACGTGCACACACGTGTGCGCACACACACGCATGCACACACACACGCACATGCACACACACGCAGCCCAGGAGCAACATACAGTAGTGTGGAGCGTGCATTTTCTGAGGTGTAGGTAAATGCCAATAGTGTGCCTTTTGCCTGTTTCTCAATCTTATTACCATCACCGGGTTACAATTTTGAGACCAGTCCATGACGATACATTGTGGGGCTTCATCTCACCTATTTAAACTGTTCTATTGTAGGATTAGCAACTCCCCCTTGCTTTTTTTTTTTAACTTTTTGGCCATGCCACGTGGCATGCAGGATCTTAGTTCCCTGTTGGGGGATTCAACCCACATTCCCAGTAGTGGAAGCATGGGGTATTCACCACTGGACTGCCACTGAAGTCCCAGGATAAGCCCCTTTATCACCTAGTGGACTCATTCATTCATCCAACCACTATTTATTGAGCACCTGCTAAGTGCCGGGCACATTCTTCTTAATTGGTAGGCAATGCTGCTGAAAGGTATAAGAAACAGGTGCAAATCCTTGCCTGCCCTTGTAAACTGTATGTTCCAGTGGAGAAGTCAGGATAACAGACAGACAAACAAGTGATTTCTATAGTGTGTTAGATGGTCCTTAGAAGGAGCAAAATAGAGCAGGGAGGGGGGGGTGGGAAGGGTGGGAGGAGGAGAGGCAATTGTCAGAAGGAGGCCTTGTGAGGGGGAAACAGCTGAACAAGGAGTTGAAGGAGAAAGAGGGAGAGAGTGAGCTATTGATCTGCGTGTAGGGGGAAGAATGGGGATAACACATGCAAAGGCCCTGGGACAGGAGTGGGCCTGGAGCTTCCGAGAGTGGCTGGGGCAGAGGGAGCAGGGCGAGAGTGATGGCAGGAGAAGTTTGAGCTGGCAGAGGCAGGTCACATGGCACCGCGTGGAACAGCGTGGCCTTTGTTTCCATTCTGAGTGAGTTGAGAGGCAGGGAAAGTGCTGAGGGAGAGACAGAGGGAGAAGAGGAGAGACAAGATACAACTTGGGTTTTAAGAGGATGCCTCTGGATGGTGGATTGAGGACAGACCAGGAGAGAGGGGGCAATGACTTAAGAAGGTTGTAATAATCAAACCAGGCAGAAGTGGGCATAGTGAAAAGGATCAGATTCTGAACAGATTTGGGGAGCAGAGCCAAAAGGATTGGCTGGTGGGTTGGATGTGAGGCAGGAGAGAAAGAAGAATTCAGGATGCCACCAGAAGCTTCTTTCTTGCTGTTCAGTCGCTAAGTTGCGTCCGATTCTTTGGACTGCAGCTCCTCGCCCCAGTGATTAGGAAGTATTTAGGTCATGTCCAATTCCGTGCCTTTACAATGCTCTAATAAAACGATGCCTCCATGTCTGCTTTTCTGTCTAGAAAGGCTTAAAGGAGATGTTTCCTATTGAGGCGGGGGACATCAACCCACAGAATAGGATCATCCCACACCTGCCAGGTGAGGAGTGGGGCTGAGTCACCTTGGTGGGCTCCCCTGCCCCGGCTCCCCTCATCTGCCCTCTGACTGTCCCCTCCACTCCCACCGTCTCTGGACTTGACCTTGCAAGTATGCTCACTGGTCCTCTGGTGTCCTTCCCTGGTCCCGCCAGCCCCGCGGTGGTTTGATGGGCAGCGGGCGGCCGAGAGCCGCCAGGGCACTCTTACCGAGTACTGCAGCGCGCTTATGAGCCTGCCTGTCAAGATCTCCCGCTGCCCGCACTTCCTCGACTTCTTCAGGGTGCGCCCCGACGACCTCAAGCTCCCCACAGACAGCCAGTGAGTGGTGGAAGAGGGAAGGGTGGTTGGCTCAACCTGGAGAGGGCAGGGCTTTCCCATGTTACACAGGAAGAGCCTGAGGATCAGAGAGAGCATGCGACTTGCCCAAAGTCACACAGCGAGAAAGCGGAGGAGGCAGGATTCCGGCTCAGAGGGACACCCCCAGCAACCCTGCCAGGCTTCTACCTGCACCCCTCTGAGCCTCAGGATGCTGGGGGTGGGGTGGAGGACGCATTCTGGGCTGGGGGACCTAAGTCCACAATCCTTGTCCTGGCTTTGCCTGGCCATGGGACCTGGAGCCTTCTGAAAGCAGCTTCCCCAACTGTGACCCAGTGGTGAGGGCCAGATGCAATAGTGGGTGCCCAGGAGAGTGCTTATAAACTGGGAAGTGCAGAGCCCCCGAAAGGATATGGGGCTTGGTGACCTCTGTTCATTCCTGAGCATGTCTCAGGCCCCTCCTCTCCTTTGCCACCTCATTCTCTGCCTGCCCTCGCCCTAGGGGTCTCCTGGACGCAGGGCCCTCCATGGATGGCATCAGAGAAGCTGAGTGAGATCTCAGGGGAATATGCTGCCGAAGGTTCCTCTGTTCATTCCTGAGCATGTCTCAGGCCCCTCCTCTCCTTTGCCACCTCATTCTCTGCCTGCCCTCGCCCTAGGGGTCTCCTGGACGCAGGGCCCTCCATGGATGGCATCAGAGAAGCTGAGTGAGATCTCAGGGGAATGTGCTGCCGAAGATCCCTCTCTCTGTCCCTCTCTGGTACTGAGTGCCAGGGGATGCCTGGAGGGCAGGGTTTGCCATAGACAGACAGCAGCACTCCAGTTAGTGCTTACGGACCCCTGAATACACCCCTGGTCCCAGGCAGGGCAGCTCCCCTTGGCCCCTGGGGGACAGGGCGCCCACCCGCAGTTGGCTTCTCTCTCCAGGCTCCAGCAGAAGGGAGCTGGCCTACAAGCCTTCTCCTTTGGGTCTGCAGGAAGCTGGGCAACCCCCCCTCAGGCTCCAAACAGCTCCTTCTTTCTTCAAAATCCCTTCCTCCCAGTCTATCTAGCCGCTCCCTTCTCTCTGCAATGGCCCCCATTTCCCACGTTCCTTTTGGGAACTGTCTCGGGAAGTTCTTCTGTAGGCCTGTCCTGAGCATCCCAGGGGGAAGCCCAGTGGTCTAACCCAGACTGTTCTCTGCTGCAGGGTGAAAAAGCCAGAGACATACCTGATGCCCAAAGATGGCAAGAGCAACACTGCGGGTAAGAGGCTGGGGGCAGCTCAGCGTGGTCAGCCTCAGGGACTGTTGACACGATCAGGGACTCGGAGCTCGGGGTATGCAGGGGAAAGAGCAGGAGATGAGAGCAGCTGTGAAGGGTCTTGGCGGCTGCACTAAAGAGTTGGGGTCTTGGGACTTCCCTGGTGTCCGGTGGCTAAGATTCTGCACTTCATGCAGGGAGTGTGGGTTCGAACCCTGGTTGGGGCACTAAGATCCCTCGTGCTGTGGGGCATGGCTAAAAAGTTAAAAAAAAAAAAAGAAAGAGTTGGAGTTTTGGGAGCTCACTACTGTGGCTGCAGCGCCAAGCACAGACCCTGGCTCCAGACAGCCCAGGGAATGTTCTGGCTGAATGAATGATCAGATTTGGGGGCAAAAGTGGCCTTTAGTGGCCCAAATACACTCGATTCTAAGGTACTGGGGATTAGGGCTTCAATATATGAATTTGGTGGCGGGGGTGGATACAAGTCAGGGCTTAACAGGCAGCTGCAGCATCACCTAGGGGCTGGTTAGAAATACAGACCCTCAGGTCCTACCCGAGACCTATGAAATCAGTGCTTGTGTTTCAGCGAGATCCCTGGGTGATTTGTTTGCACATTAAAGGGTTTTTTTTTTAAATTATTTACTTATTTATTTGGCGGCACCGGTAGAGGCATGCGAACTCTTAGTTGCAGCATGTGGGATCTAGTGCCCTGATCAGGGATCAAACCCAGGGCTCCCTGGAGCATGGAGTCTTAGCCACTGGACCACAAGGGAAGTCCCCTGTGCACATTAATGTTGAGAAAGGCTGCTTGCAAACCTCATCAAAACCTCATTTGGGGTCAGAGAGCGTGTGTAAAGTGTGCGGCCAGTGTCTGGCACACAGTAGGTGCTGAATAGGTGCAGGGCTGCGAAGCCTAGCTTGTTTTTGCTGCTTTCCAGTACACAGGGCGTGTCCACCCCCGGCCTGTCTGGAGCTGGGTGGGGACAGGACATCAGTTCCCGTCCTGGCGATCCACCCAGGGCCCGCAGGGGAGAGCCGGGAGGAGGTGCCCACCGTGTCCACTCACCCTGCCCTCCCTCTGCCCAGACATCACGGGCCCCATCATCCTGCAGACGTACCGCGCCATCGCTGACTATGAGAAGGGCTCGAGCTCCCAGATGGCGCTGGCCACGGGCGACGTGGTAGACGTCGTGGAGAAGAACGAGAGCGGTCAGCTTCCTCACCCTGCCTGGACCTCTCTCCCCTGGTGTCTGGGCCCCCGGCCACAAGCCCCCACCAAGGCTCTGCCCCCTGGGGAACAGCCTAGGGCCTCCTTCTCGCCTGGCCCACAGCGGGGCTCTGGCTCCTTTGGGGGCCCTGACTGTCCTCCCCACACTGGGTGGGGCGGGGTGCAGAGGTGGGGGGTGGGGGTGGTCACCCTCTCTCTGAGAGTGCGCCCCCTGCTCTGGGGATCTGCACACATTCGGAGCCATGACGGAGCATCTCTGCCGGGATACAGCCGGGTGGGGAGGCAAACTTCTCATCACACCTGTGAAGTGGACTCTGAGCTGTAGCTCTGTGGTTCTCCATGCACCAGTGTGTGTGATTTTGGCATGCAGTGTGGTGAAGGGGACAGGCTTCCCAGGTGGCACAGTGGTAAAGAATCTGCCTGCCAATGCAGGAGATGCAAGAGATGCGGATTCGGTCCCTGGGTCAGTACGATCCCCTGGACTAGGAATTGGCAACCCGCTCCAGTATTCTTGCCTGGAAAATTCCATGGGCAGAGGAGCCTGGTGGGCTACAGTCCAGGGGGTCACAAAGGGTCAGACACCACTGAGCACGCACACACACAATCAGTCTGAATGCGAATGTTGCATGTCTGTGTGTCTGCGTCTGATTGTCCTCACCCCTCCCCACCCGGTGATGGCTGAGGGAGGCTCCCAGGCCTGCCCAGACTTACTGCCCCGTGTCCCTGGCTCAGGCTGGTGGTTCTGCCAAATGAAGACAAAGCGTGGCTGGGTCCCAGCGTCCTACTTGGAGCCCCTGGACAGTCCTGATGAAGCCGAGGACCCAGAACCCAACTATGAAGGTACCCGCTGCCTTCCCCAGCTGCAGGAGTGGGAGGAGGAGGAGGAGAGGCCCAGGGATATTGAGGAGCCACAGTGACTGCTTTGGGGTCAGACATGACTGAGGGCTGGGCAGAGACGGAGGCAGGGCTGAGACCCCAGAGTATAGGTTGGGGTAGTAGGTGGTGCCTTTGGTCAGGACAGGGGGAACCAGGAGGTAGAATAGAGGAGAGAGGGTGATGAGGTCAATCTGGACACGTGGTGGCTGTCAGCCTGGGGCTGGGTCCAGTGGGAAGTGGCACCGTGAGCCAACCTGAGTGTCAGGAAGGAGGGCTGCCTGGAGGTGGGGGTATCATGGCTGACTTAGAATGGGAAAATGGGCAGCCTCTGGGTGGGAAGGGGCCCGTGTGGGGTTTGATAAAAAGTTTTGGTTGCCCATATCTTCAAATATTAATAGAAAGTGTTTACAATTTTATGTGGATTTGTGGCTCCTCTTTAAAAACTGGGCAAGACGTGTATACAGGGCTGGCAGCCCCACATGTGAACAGTGGGCTGGAGTGATGGCTCAGGTGCCACTGGATGGGTCCTCTTCCTCCGCACTTCCTGTCTGCCCACTCCTCGTGTGCAGGTGGCTGGCCGGGTCTCTGGGGTCATGGGAGCTCCTGGCCTCCAGTGTGGATGGCGGTGGGTGGGAGTGGGCGAGCTCCCCTGAGTAGAGCAGGCAGAGGATAGAAGTCCAGGGTGTCCCCAGGAGGAGTGGGGAGAACTAGAGCAGATAGTGTCCTGAGCTCCAGCTGGAGGAAGCCCCAGGCCCAGAGCGGAGGGGAAGGGTGGGGAGCCACGTGCTGGGTGGACCTTCGCAGTATGCCCCTCCCCCTCCAGGTGAGCCCTACGTCACCATCAAAGCCTACACTTCGGTGCTGGAGGATGAGATGTCCTTGGAGGAGGGTGAAACCATTGAGGTCATTCATAAGCTCCTGGATGGCTGGTGGGTCATCAGGTAGGAGAGTCGTGCCCCCTCTCTCTCCCACTGCACCTGTCTTGAGAGTCACCCTGGCCCAAGACTGGACCTGTGCGGGCTCAGTGCCGACCTGACTGTGTGACTCTGGGTAGGCCACTGCCTCTCTCTGCGCTGTTCCCATTTTGGAAGCAGACTCCTTCCATCCCAGTCTGCTCGGATCGTGGGGTTCGGTCTCCTTGTCTGAGTGGGCACTTCTTTCCTTTGTGACTTGGGGTCATGTCCCCTGACCAGTCCATCTATTCATTCTCCAGCAACACAATTAATTGTGTTAATTATTATCTTTTTAAAAAACACAATACCATTTTAAAAAGATTTATTATTTACTTTTGGCTGCTCTGGGTCTTTGTTGCTGCATGCAGATTTTCTCTAGCTGCAGTGAGCCGGGGCTGGGCTCTTCGTTGCGGTATGTGGGCTTCTCCTTGCAGTGGCTTCTTGTTGCAGAGCGCGGGTTCCAGGTGCTCAGGCTTTAGTAGTGGCGGATCAGGGATAGAACCTGTGTCTCCTGCATTGGCAAGTAGATTCTTAACCACTAGACCACCAGATGAAGTCCCTGAATGAATTATTATATTTGACAGCTGCTAGAACAGGCCCTGTCATCCCTTTTCCTTCTAAATCCTTATAATTTTCACCAGTTCATTCCTTCAAATGAATGTAAGAATACTAGTTTTTCCTGATTCTGGGGAAAGCAGAGTGCTGGGGTCTTACACACAATTGCCAAATCTGGAGTCACAGTGCCTATCTGTGACCCCCATGAACTTGTGGCCACAATACCCCCCATCAGCGTGGCCCTCCACTGAATACTTTGAGGCAGGATTTCTCCGACTTTTATTTATTTTTATTGGTGAAAGTTGTTTTACAACGTTGTGTTAGTTTCTGCTGCATAGCAAAGTGAATTCGTTTTTAGACTCAAATTCAGTGAACCCCCATCATGCACTCCTGAGACAATATTTGTGATTCTCCCACCAGCCAAGAAGAATGGGTTTTACTGAGTGAAGTCTGTATCATGCAAAGGCTACTGGTTTTTTTTTTTTTTTCCACTCCCAAATGTAGTAGTAAGAATGGGAAGAAGAATCTCAACAAATGGTGCTGGAACAACTGGATATCCCTGGGAGGGGGCTGTGGGAAATGAAACTTGACCCTGCTTCACAGGGTCAAATAAATACACCTTTATTTCGGGTGGATCGCAGGTTTTACCTGCACAAAACCCCAAACTAAGAAGCTTTTGGAAGAAAGCATAAGGGAACTTGTTGACTTGGAAGTGCGGAAAGATTTCTTAGGACACAGGAGACCATCACCTTATATAAGAGAAAAAAGGGACAAATACAAGTTCACAGAGGTTTCATAACAAACACCTGTCCCGGGAGAGCTGGATCTGCTAATTGGCTCACAACCAGGAAGGCCTGAGTCACACCCATGAGGAAGTCGAGGCACACAGGTGCAGGGGCTGGTGCTGGCTGCTGTGTGTGCAACCTCCCAGCGGCCTTGACCCCAGATGACCCTAAGGGACCCTTGACCCCATGTCTGAGGCTCCATCCCCTCTCCTGGCCGTCACTGCTCAGACCTCAGCGGCTGCCTCTGTTACAGGAAAGAAGATGTCACAGGTTACTTTCCATCCATGTTCCTGCAGAAGGCAGGGCAGGACGTAGCCCAGGCCAAAAGCCAGATCAAGAGCCGGGGGGCGCCGCCCCGCAGGTGAGCAAGGGTCCCGGGGGCAGTGGGGGCAGGCTGGGCGGGGTTGAGGAGGGTGTACCGCGGCTTCCCTTTGTGGGTCCAGGCCCTAGGTTGGCAGTGCTAGGGCGGGGGGCTGGGGGGAAGACTGGGCCCTGGAGTGCCCTCCTACACTGTGGGGCCGGCACAAGGGCAGCAGGGAAGCAGGGCTGAGAGATGGAAGTGGGGGCACCGGTGCCCACCGTCCTTGGGATGGCCCCTGAGGGCTGGGGCAGGCCAGAGGGCTTCCTGCGGTGGGGGTAGGCTGAAGGCCGGAGGGGGAGGGAGGGAGAAATGGGCCTGGGCTCTGAGTCAGGGCAGGGGGGTCCGTGTCGGGGAGGCGCAGTGGCCTTCATGGCTATCGGGGCTGGGCAGGACTCCCTCCACCGGCTCCACTTCCTCGGCCTAGTCGTTGGACCCCAGGGCTGGCCATAAGAGTCCCCTCGGGTAGGGCGGCGGCAAGGGTGCGGACGCGGGGCGCTAACGAAACCCCTCTCCTGCTGGACCCAGGTCGTCCATCCGCAACGCACACAGCATCCACCAGCGGTCACGGAAGCGCCTCAGTCAGGACACCTATCGGCGCAACAGTGTCCGTTTTACGCAGCAGCGCCGCCGCCAGCGGCTGGGACCACAGAGCCCCGGGAGCGCCCTGAGTGAGTGCGGGCCGGGGCCTGGGGGCGGGGCCGGGCGGTGGTAGGCGGTGCAGAGCAGGAGGGGCGGGCTTCACCTGGTGCTGTCCACCCGCAGAGGAAGAGCAGCAACCCGAGACCGAACGCCCCAAGCCGCAGCCGGCCGTGCCCCCGAGGCCCAGCGCAGACCTCATCCTGCACCGCTGCAGCGAGAGCACCAAGCGGAAGCTGGCCTCCGCTGTCTGAGGCCGCCCCCACGTGATGCTCTCCCCACCCCCAGCCCCTAAACTTGTATATACGTGTATAGAGCCTGAGGCTGGCAGCCCCTGGCCGCGCCCCACCTAGCTGTTTGATACCCTTAATAAACATTGCTTGGAGGGGACTGATGCTTTGAAAAGTCGCGCCGCGGGCAAAACCCTTGATATTTCTAGACTTAGGACTGGAGGCTGTGAGGTCTGTTGGGGAAGTTGCAAGAACTGAAGTCCGGCTGCATCCTTCTCTGGCCTTGGCCAAGACTAGGTTTGCACAAGGCCAAGTGCAAGAGGAAGCGCCAGCTTCCTCTGGCTGTTCGCCTGGAGAGACTGCCTGCTTGAACTCTGGCCTCACTGCAGAAGAGTCCTGAAGAAGAGTGGACACGGTGCATAGCTGGGGTGGGGCGGGGTGGTATGGATTCGGGTCAGGGCTGTAGTTGACTTTGCGTGTACACTTTGATTGCCAAAAAAAACCCTGTAATTTAGGTTTAGGGAAACACACACTAGATGTAAAGCTATACCATAAACTGAAAGGGAAGAAATGGAAAAAGACATTCATGCAAACAGAAACTGCTGGAGTAGCTATACTTAGAGAAAATAGACTTTGTAATAAAGACTGTAATAAGAGACAAAGGCATTCCATAACAATAAAGGGGTCAATCCTTTATAAGGGGACATAACATTTGTAAATATTTATGCACCCAACATAGGAGCACTAACATATACAAAGCAAATATTAACAGACCCAAAGGGAGAAACAGACAACAATACAATAATAGGAGGGGACTTTAATACTCTGTTTACATTAATGGACAGGTCATCTACCCAGAAAATCAGTAAGTGTTTTCCAAGATAAATCATATATTGGATTGCAAAACAAGTTTTAACAAATATAAGAGGATTGAAGTCATATTAAACTTTTTTTTTCAGTCATGGTGGTATGAAACTAGAAATTAATTACAGGAAGAAAACTGTAAGACTCACAAATGTGGAGATTAAACAAGTTATAAACAACCAATGAGTCAAAGAAAAAATCAAAAGAGAAACAAAAACACCTTGAGACAAATGAAAACGGAAGTGAAACATACCAAAACTTATGAAATGCAGTAAAAGCAGCTCTGAGAGGGAAGTTCATAGCAATAAATGCTTACCTCAAAAAACAAGAAAAGTCTCAAACAACCTAACTGTACACCCCAAGGAACTAGAAAAAAAAAAGAACAAATGAAGCCCAAAGTTAGTAGAAAGAAGGAAGGAACAAAAATTAGAGCAGAAATAAATGAAATAAAGACTGAAAAGACAATAGAAAAGATCAATGAAACTAAGAACTGGTTCTTAGGAAATATAAACAAAATTGACAAACTTCTAGCTAGATTCAGCAATAGAAAAAGAGAGAGGACTCAAATAAGAAATAAAAGAGATGTTACAGCTGATACCACAGAATACAAAGGATCAGAAGGGACTACTATGGACAATTATATGCCAAACTAGACAAAATGGATAAACTGGGCAACCAAGAAGAAAGGGATAAATTGCTAGAAACATACAATCTACAAAGCTTGAATCATGATGAAATAGAAAATCTGAAATGAAAATCTCAAATGAAACAGACCAATTGCTAGCAAGGAGATTAGGAGTTTGAATCAGCAAAACAAACAACGAAACAAAAAACTCTCAACAAGCAAAAGTCCCGGACCAGATGGCTTCACTGGTGAATTCTACCAAACATTCAAAGAACAGTTATTATAAGATCAATCTTTATCAAATTCTTCCAAAAAATTTGTGAGAGGGGAACTCTTTCAAATGTATTTTACAAGGCCACCATTACCCTGACAAAGGATGCCACAAAACAAGAAAATTACAGGCCAATATCTCTGATTACCCTAGATACAAAATTCTTCAAAGAATATTAGCAAACAGAATTCAACAATACCTTTGATCACACCGCATGATCAAGTGGAATTTATTCCAGGGATGCAACGATGGTTCAATAATCAGTCAATGATACACCATATTAACAACATGAAGGCTGAAAATCATATGATCATCTCAATAGATGCAGAAGAAGCATTTGACAAGATTCAACATCCATTTATGACAAAAATACTCAACAAAGCGGGTATGTAGGGAACATACCTCAACATAGTAAAGGCCGTGTGTAAGGAGTACATAGCTAACATCAAATTCAATGGTGGAAAGCTAAAAGCTTTTCCTCTAAGATCAGGAACAAGAAAATGATGTGTGCTCTCACCACATTCACTTCTCAAAAAAGATTAAAAACAGAACTACCATATGATCCAGGAAGTCCATGAGAATCTGAGTATTATATGAAGAAAATGAAAACACTAATTCAAAAAGATAACTGCACCTTGAAGCTCACTGCAGCATCATTTACAATAGCCAAGATATAGAAACAACCTAAGTGGCCATCAGTGGATGACTAGATAAAGAAATTGTGGCATAAATATAAAATGGAATATTATTCAGCCATAAAAATAATAAAATCTTATCACTTGCAACAAAATGAATGTTATTTGAGGGCATTATGCTAAGTGAAGTCATGCAGAGAAAGACAAAGAGTGTATTCTCTCTCTTATATGTGGAATCTAAAAGACAAACAAAAAACAACATATAGAAAACAGGATGATGGCTGTAAGAGGTGGGAGGTGACAAGGTAGAAGAAATGGGTGAATTGGTTATTTATTTTAGTTTAAAAAATTGAATAAACACTTTTTAAACTGGCAAATATAAATAGGAGAATATAATTGATCTTGCATTCCAGATTTAATTGACAATAGCCATCCTGGGGTGATTGCTAAGGCATAGAAGGGGCACAGAAATTTGAACGTTTACCCAGTTTTCCCTCCCTGAGAAACAGTGGGGGTCTTGGCTAATTTAAGAGCTGTGAATATTCAGTGAAGGACAATAGCTTATCAAACACACAGAGAATTGTAATTTGGCTATAGAGACAGGGTGCCTCTGACTATTCAGAGAGCCTGTCCAGTTAGGGAGTTGTACCAGAAAGCAATTATTACCACCCATTCCAGCACTGCAGCTGGCCCAGGGCCTTCACATCTCTGCTGATGGGTTTTTCTCCAGATGCAAAGACACTACGGTGCAAACTAGAATTGCAAATCTTATAAAAAACAGAGGTGGACCTTAAAGAAATCTGACTGCCGAAGAACTGATGCTTTTGAACTGTGGTGTTGGAGAAGACTCTTGAGAGTCCCTTGGACTGCAAGGAGATCAAACCAGTCAATCCTAAAGGAAATCAGCCCTGAATATTCATTGGAAAGACTGATGCTGAAGCTGAAGCTCCATTACTTTGGCCACCTGATGCAAACAGCTGACTCATTAGAAAAGGCCCTCATGCTGGGAAAGATTGAAGGCAGGAGGAGAAGGGGACGACAGAGGATGAGATGGTTGGACGGCATCACCGACTCGATGGACAGGAGTTTTGAGCAAGCTCTGGGAGTTGGTGATGGACAGGGAAGCCTGGCATGCTGCAGTCCATGGGGCTGCAAAGAGTCAGACACGACTGAGCGACTGAACTGAACTGAGCTGACTGATAGAAGGCAGCCTGTCCCCACAGCCATGGGACGCGTGGAGCGCTTCTGTTCCTGTGTGGGAAGCGGTATATGAGTGAGGCTGGACAAGGCTGGTCACTTAAGAGAGAAGTCAGTTTCTCCCAGTCTTGGCTCAGTCATACAAGTCATTGTGCTGGTCAAGCCACCTGGTCTCAGGACACTGTACAGGTCAAGAAGGAACCTGGGGACCTTGGGAGTTGAATCAAAGTAAAACAGTCCCAAGAATAGCCCAGCCAACAGAAGCCAGCCCTGGCTGAACGCTATGGTCCTCTCCCTAATAATGGGCTAACCACCAGGGAGCCACAGGTGACAGGGATGAGCAGGGCTCTAAGACAGATGCCTCCTAGGTCTCCACAGACGCATGGTGGCTGCTTAGAAAAGGAAGAACATGGACTTCGGAGTCATGCAGACCCGGGATTGAATCCTTTCCTGGCTATGTGGCTTCAGGCAGGCCATTTAATCATTCTGAGCCCCAGCTGACTGTCTGAAAACCTGGGGGCTGGTATTTCCTGGCAGGTTTGTAGGACCATGCCTCTTATGCTGAGTCAACTTCTGCCCTGGTACATCAGCAGCTGGCCTCCCGCAACTCCCACTGTGAACCAGTCCAGAAGTCACCGGACTCATTTTCCAGGAAGTGAGCCTCGGACCCAGCTGGACCTGCAGTCAGCCTCCTAAGGACAGGAACTGCCCAGCGTGGGTCATTCCTGTGTCTGAGGACATCCATCCAGGCCCCAGCTGGGGCGGGGTCCCCTCCACAGGATGACTAGTTGGAGGCTGGTCTCTCCTCCCGTCAGCTTCCTTTAATTTCCATCAAAGCCTTTTCCCCCATTGCTTCCTGGATGTGTCATCAGGTAGGGTCTCCAACCCTCTTGTGCCCTAATCAGATTAATTCCTCCAAATCTGGAAAGTATTCGCAATTTCAGGTCACTAATTCCAGCAACTAATAGATACTAAGAACACATATCTTTAACTTTATACCTGTTCAGTTCAGTTCAGTCACTCACTTGTGTCTGACTCTCTGCGACCCAATGAACTGCAGCATGTCAGGCCTCTCTGTCCATCACCAACTCCCGGAGTTTACTTAAACTTATGTCCATTGAGTTGGTGATGTCATCCAACCATCTCATCCTCTGTCGTCTCCTTCTCCCACCTTCAAACTTTCCCAGCATCAGGGTCTTTTCCAATGAGTCAGTTCTTCACCTCAGGTGGCCAAAGTATTGGAGTTTCAACTTCAGCATCAGTCCTTCCAATGAATATTCAGGACTGATTTCCTTTAGGATGGACTGGCTGGATCTTCTTACAGTCCAAGGGACTCTCAAGAGTCTTCTCCAACACCACAGTTCAAAACATCAATTCTTCAGCGCTCAGCTTTCTTTACAGTCCAACTCTCACATCCATAAATGACTACTGGAAAAACCATAGCTTTGACTAGGTGGACCTTTGTTGGCAAAGTAATGTCTCTGCTTTTTAATATGCTGTCTAGGTTGGGCTTCCCTGGTGGCTCAGAGGTTAAAGCGTCTGCCTGCATGTGGGAGACCTGGGTTTGATCCCTGGGTCGGGAAGATCCCCTGGAGAAGGAAACGGCAACCCACTCCAGTATTCCTGCCTGGAGAATCCTATGGATGAAGGAACCTGGTGGGTCGACGGGGTCACAAAGAGTCAGACACAACTGAGTGACTTCACTTTCACTTTCTAGGTTGGTCATAAATTTTCTTCCAAGGAGCAAGTGTCTTTTAATTTCATGGCTACAGTCACCATCTGCAGTGATTTTGGAGCCCCTCAAAATAAAGTCTGTCACTGTTTCCACTGTTTCCCCATCTATTTCCCATGAAGTGATGGGACCAGATGCCATGATCTTAGTTTTCTGAATGTTGAGCTTTAAGCCAACTTTTTCACTCTCCTCTTTCACTTTCATCAAGAGGCTCTTTAGTTCTTCTTCACTTTCTGCCATAAGGGTGGT